CTCAAATAAATAAATAAAATCTTAAAAAAAAAAAAAAAAGCATTGGCCACTGGGATCCTGGGTCCAGATGACTGCTGCGTTTTGCATTGACGAAGAACGCATTAGCCTGGTTTTAGATCTCAGATTCCTGAACTAAACGTGTGCCCAGCTTCCTCAGAAGACAGTATGTTCCCTGTGTTCTGACAAAAGGCTGTCTTGGAACCTGGGCAAAGTAGTGAGTACACCAAGTGAGTACACCCCTCGGGAGACAGTACCCAATCTGTGCCCTAACATCAACAGGGCACATGATGGAGAGAGCGTCCAGGGATTCAGAGCTGCGCAGACAGACCTGGGTTCAAATCTTGACTCTGCCACCAACTGGTTGTGTGCCTTCAGGGAAGTGACTTCACCTTTCTGGGCCTCAGTTTCCTTATCTGTAAAATGGGGCTAAAACTACCCATGCCACAGTTTCTTTGCAGCAGAGAGAGTATGTACCGTGCGTTAAAAACATAGGCTCTGGAGCGGCACCTGGGTGGCTCAGTCTTAAGCGTCAGTCCTTTGGCTCAGGTCATGATCTCAGGGTCGTGAGATCGAGCCCCATGTCGAGCTTGCACTGGGCATGGAAGATGCTTAAGGTTCTCTCCCTCCCTCTCCCTCTGTTCCTCCCCCCTGTGCATGCATTCTCTCCCTCCCTCTTTCTCTAAAATCAATCAATCAACCTTACCACATGGGACATTAAAAAGGGTACATTGTATAAGACATAAATTATACTTCCAATAGAGCTGAGCTTTTTTTTTTTTTTTTTTTAAAGTGAAAACAAGAGTGGGGCAGTTGGGAGGTGGGCTGCCTGGGGGAATGACTTCATTTCCATGCCTCAATCTCCTCATCTGTGAAATGGGTTGATAATAGTACCCACTGCTGAGGGCGGTCATGAAGATGCAGAAAGATGCATCTTTATGGGGGAGTTAGGTATGTAATGCCAAAGGTTTCCTAGACTCCTGAGAAAAGGGACATCTAACCTCTGGATCACCCTGGGGTGAGGTTGGGGGTGCGGGGGGGCAGGCAGCAGAGGGAAGTTCTGCAGGCGGGGGCAGCGGGCATTTGAAAACCCTTCTAAGGTTCTCATCACCCATACCTGATTCCGGGGGTCAGGAGACTGCACAATATTTCACTTTGGGGATAATGGTTCTTGAGAGACAAGGTCACAGAATAAAACTTGGATGTTTTAATTTGGAACTTTCCTCACTGGAGTCTGGGGGATTAGCGGCCACACTGGGGGAGGGGGGATCCTAGATTTGTTCCCTGTGCTTGCTGTAGCAAATCACTGCAAACTGGGCAACTCAGAACAACAGCAGTTTATTCCCTCGAGGCTAGAAGTCCACCATCAAGGTCTCGGGAAGGCTGAGCTCCCTCTGAAGGCTCTAGGGGAGGATCCTTCCTTGCCTCTTCCAGCCTCTGGTGGCTCCTGGTGTTCTTTGGCTCGTGGCCACATCACCCCAGTCTCTGCCTCCGTGGTCACACCCCTCCTCTGATTCCTCATGGCTTCTCCTCTGTGTCTGTTATCTCTCTCCGCTTCTCTCTTATGAGGACACTCCTGATGTCCCGCCCAGAAAATCTAGGGTAGTCTCATCTCCAAATCCTTCATTACATCTGCAAAGATCCTTCTCCAAATAAAGTAACATTTTCAAATTCCAGGGATTCAAGCCTGAAATCCGGGGGTAGCCATTATCCAAACTATTACAAGATCTCTGAGATTCCCACCCCTCACCCCCTTTAAGGGTCCCTCTATGTTGTTAAAAGTGGAGAAACCCTCATTTCCAGTCTGGCTGGTTTGCAGGTGCTGTGTGGTATTTCCAGATGGCCAAGTTCCTCTCTTGCCTCTGCTCAGCCCCACCAACCATCACCACCTGTCAGTCACTCGGGAAGATTATTTTTGTAATGCAGTACCCCACCCCACCCCCACCCTAAATGCTCCGATTCAGTAGGTTGCACTCGGGAAATCGTGATTGCCAAAACTCTCGCTAGTGATTCTAATGTACAACCAGATTTGCGAATCACTGCTTTAAAGAAATGTGCCACACGAATGAATGAATGGATAAATGAACGAACGATTTTTCAAATATACAGCTATTCTGTCGGCTTTGCTTCCATGCTTACCAAACAGCCTCCAGATTTTAGCGTTGAAGAGGTGAGAGGCAGGCGTGGCCCAACTACATGGCTGGTTCTGGAGGCCAGAGTGTGAACAATAAGGCTGCTTCCTGCTGTATTTCTTGAGGACCTACTATGTGCTGTCGATGAACCCAACGGTTAAAAAGTACAAAAAATTTATATCCCGTTCATTCTAGACAGGGATCTGATTTCTGGGCAGTTGAGACTGAGGACAAATCCAGTGACTACGCCAAAGTTACAAATGTCACCTGGGAGAGAAGTCTTCAGAGACTGCTCATCAACCTTGCTCCCCATCCCCTAGCCACCATAGGCAACTGGGAAAATAAAGGAAGCATGAGAGTATAGGGGTTGGAATCTAAGAAGCCTGAGTGATTCAAAGCTCGGTCACTTACTAGCTGGGTGGCTTTCTTTGGCCTCATTTTTTCTCAGCTGGAAAATGGGAATAAATACTTGCTTAAGAGGGGTCGTAAAGAGTGGGGCACCTGGGTGGCTCAGTCTGTTAGAGCATCACACTCGTGCTTTCGGCTCAGGTCATGACTTCAGGATCATGATCTCAGGGTCGTGAAATTGAGCCCCCCCCCCCCGCCACCACCTCTGAGCTCAGCGCAGAGTCTGCTGGAGATTCTCTCTCCCTATGCCCCGCCCCTCAAATAAGTAAATAAATCTTAAAGAAAAAAAAAAGAGGGGTTGTAAGGAGTAAAAGAAAAAATGCAAGGGGAAAGGGAGAAAGTAGGAGCTTGATCAAAGCGAATCATTATCAGTATTCTCATGCACCCTACTTTCGGGCATACCCAAAGAAGGGTGGAAATGGTCACAAAAAAAGAAAACCAACACTGATCTACATACACAGATATGGAAAGACTTCAAGCCCAGCTATTCAGTGAAAAAAGCAAAATTTATAGTAATAGATCTAGCACAATCCTCTCGTTCATTCACTCAACAAATATTTTGAGCACCTACCAGCCCCATTCTAGGTTCTGAGAATTCGGCAGTGACCAAACCAGACAAATATCCCCTCATGGGTCGCGTATTTGAATAGTGAGACAACAAATAGTGAGACAACAAATAAGAAAGAATAAATAAATAAGAAAATACTAGGAAGTGGTAAGCACCATGATAAAAATAATTCAGGATAATGTGAAAAATCCCCTGGGGTAAATTCTAAAATTACACGTTTAAGCATCTTTTTTCTTCCTGCAAAAATACAGAGCTATTTCACTGTAGTTACTTTGCTGGAAGAGGGCTGGAGGCTGGAGGCTGGGAGAGGGAGACTTGTTTTTCATTTTATACCTTTCTGGAACTTCATTTTCTTAACGTGTGTGTGTCACTTTTAGTATTTTTTATTTTTTAAAAAGATTTTATTTATTTATTTGACACAGAGAGACACAGCAAGAGAGGGAACACAAGCAGGGCTCCTGGGTGGCTCAGTAGTAGTATTTTTTAAAGTGGCAACCAAGTGTAGCTGGGTAGAGAGATCTGGGCCACGTTTTGCTTTCTTCCCCCATCCTTTTTGGATTTTCATCTCTTTTAAACACGTATAAAAATGGGAGCTGTGATTATCGTTTGTTCTGGGGCGGCTGGAGAAGGCTCTCCGCTGCCAGAGATCTGAGTAATCTAAAATACCCACAGCGGAACTGCTCAGGGGTTGGCAATTTTTGTAAGAATGTTGAACATTTGAGGTTTTCATTTCGAGGATAATCCTCCCCGCCCCGCCCCCGCCGCACTCCCACACATAGACACACACACACACACACACACACACACACACACACACAAACCTTTTACCAATTGCAGAACACAAATATCTCATCGGCGAGGTCATTCCACTTGGAAGACTCGACTTTTCGGACTTGGATTCATAAACCAACATTCCTCAAACGGGTAGCCTAGGGATTTTTAGTTTCCGGTAGCTTCTCAGGGAAGCTGAGTGGGGGGCTCAGGCCTAAAGAAGGGATAAGAAGCCCGGAGGAGGTGCCGCCTCCCACCCACTCCGGACCCTCCCCTCCCAGAGCTGACCCGTGCTAAAGCGCGTCTCCTCGTTGCCGTGGAGACCGCTGGGCGGCTGGAAACTGAGCACAAGGGAGGGGCGGGGCGGTGGGAGGCCAGGCGGGGGCTAAGCTCGCGCGCAGGGATGTAGCTTGGGAGAGGGAGGAGAAAATCCAGCAAGCCTATCGACCCGGCTCTGCAAAGGCAAAAACAACCCGAACGAACCAGTAATTGTGCAAAGACCTCGCTGAGATCTTCAACCCCACCCCCAAGCATCTTCCTTCCTTCCCTCTCTCCCTTTCCTTCCCTCTTTCTCTCCACATCTGTCTGGTTCTTTCAAGAACTAAATAAAATCCCTAAATAAAATTATACGTGTTCCTTTTTTTATACCCTGTATTAAAGTCATTATTATTTTAGAGTTTTTTGTTGTTGTTAAAATTTTTCTTTTAACAGTTGTATATTTCATTCTAATTGGTTTCCTTTGTAATCCGATGGATGCGATTCCATGCATTGAAAAACTTTATCTTGAATACGGCCCCATGGCACTCAGAAAGGGTTAAGGATTCCTGAGATAGTGGACTCTGGAGAGGGTAGAGGCCACTCCTATCGTTGAGGGGGGTAGTGTTGCAGAATGACCTTTCCAGAAAAGGTGACATTTGGGCAGAGGGAAATTGCCAAGAAAAGGTGGGGCCATAACAATCTGGAGGTTGAGAACAGCAAGTGCAAAGGCCCTGAGGTGGAACTGAGCCTGGTGTCTGATGAATAGTGAAGAGGCGGGGGTGGCTGGAGTGGAGTCAGTGAGAAGGAGAGAAAGAGAGAAGGAAGTGGAGGAAGTGTGCTAGGGCTTTGTGGCCCCCGGTGAGGGCTTTGATTTTCTCTGAGTAAGATGGAGGCTTTTTAAAAGAGTAGAGACAGATCGAAGTTTTTAAAAGATTCCCTCCACCTGCTGGGTTGGGGTCGACTGCAGGCAGTGAGGGGGAAACGGGGAGCTGTTTGCATGGATTCCCCTTTCCCGTAGCTCTGAGAATTCCTAACAACAGCGCCCCACCCCCACCCCGCGCACACAGCAGGGTGCCTGGCTCCGAGGAAGCTCTCCCTGCAAGTTCACTGTTATTAGTACCAATGCCATCGTGGTGCATATTGTTGCTGAGCCAGCTGCTTCAGAGTTACTGGGAAGCTTTGCAGGTCCTGGGCCCCACATCCCAGGGACCCCGACCCCCCTCTGTCCATGGCCGATTCTGAAGAATTTTGCTTTAATTTAACTTAACATTTTTGACCACTAAAAATCCAAGCAATCCAAAAAGATATAGAGGGGAGAAAGTACATGTCTCTGCCACCTCTGGGGCTCCCCAGTCTCCCTCCCAGAGACAGCCACTGTCGGCTCGTACCTGAGATCAGTACACCCGCACGTCTAGACCTTTTGCCCGCCCCCCCACACACACATATACACACACAAGTTGGACTGTTTCAGATTCAAGTCCAGGTTCCATCACTTATGGCAGTGGGACCTTGAGCAAGCGACTTTACAACCTCAGCTACAAAATGGGAATGATGGGCGTGGGGCGCTTGGGTTGCTCATTCGGTTAAGCGACTGCCTTCGGCTCAGGTCATGATCTCAGGGTCCTGGGATCAGAGCCCCTGCATTGGGCTCTCTGCTCAGCGGGGAGTCCCTCTGTGCTCTTCCTCTCTCGCTCTTGCTCTATCTCAAGTAAATAAATAAAATCTTAAAAAAAAAATGGGAATGATCATCAATCCTATTACCTGCATCGTAATGTTACAGGGAGGATTTCGTGGAGCTGATCCACAGAAAGCTCTAGGAAATGCCCCATAAAACCTGACTATCCTTTTTACTAGGTGCTTCTTTGTACATAGCTGCATAGTATTTCAATGTGAGAATCGTACGGCAGAGCCAGTCCCTCCTGATGAACACCACTTCGGTTCATTCACTCACCCCCAAAGTATTTACTGAGCACCTACAGGGTGCCACGCCCCGCGCCAGAGGCTGGGGCAGTAAGATCCTGGTACCAATTTCTCCACCGACCTATATGCTTAAACAGGTAGGAACGGCTGGTACCCAAAGTCATATGATGTTGAAGCCGAACAGTACGGTACCAGCGGCTTGCCAAAGCCACCTCCAGGGTTTGGCTGGAACCCGCGCGTTTGGAAAGGCAGGTTGGGGAACTGCCGCGTTTCCCGGGAAAGGTGCTGACGTGGGCCGTGGCGGGGCGTTCTGCTTGGAAGCGGTGGCCCCAGGGAGGCCCGGAGCGCGGCCACACCCCTGTGGGGGAGGGGAGGGAGGGCGCCCCGAGGGGAGTGGACAGCCCCCCTGTCAGTCTTCCCGAGTCGGGGAGTGTAAGATGAGAAGGGGGAAGGTGGGCCTCACCCTAGGGGAGAGCGAGGAGGAACTTCCTGCCCGCGCGCGCTCCTCGGCGCTGAGCGCACGGGCTGGGAGGCTGCAGGCGCGTCAAGGTCAGCCTGGACGGGGGCGGCCGTCTGCCCGGGGGCGGGAGACCCTCGGGGGGGCTGGGCTGCGGCCTCCAAGCGCCTCGGCCATATTGAACAGCCACGGCCGAGCCGTCTTTGTGCGCGCAGGCCTCTCCCAAGCTGCAGGCGCGTCCCTGAGGCAGGAAGAGCCACGGGGGCAGCCCGTGCGCCCCAACTTGGAGCCCGGACCCCACGTCTGCAGCTGGCGGTGGGTTTCGAGCCTCGGGACTGACCTCACCCCGGCTCACGTAAGCATCCTGGGAACTGATTCCCGCCAGTCCTTGGGGCGGGGGAGCCGGACTTGGTCAAGACTGGACTTTGTGGCGGGCAGAGAAGTTGGGAGGGGTTGGCTCATCCTTGGCTGGAGAGGTGAGACCCTCCGGGCAGTTCTGCGGGGACCCGTCCCACCCCCATCCCCTAAGACTCAGGCTTACGTGTAGTTTGGGGTCGTTGCCCCCAACCCCGATTTCACCCTGGAGATCTTAAAGACCCTCGAGAAAAGCCACGTGGGGGGCTGGTTCCCCTGGGGCTTCCTCCCATCCCCCGACTGCCTGATCCTCTGGAGCGTCCCTGATGTCTGCAAAGATGTGGACTTGGACGTCCTCGTGGAAGCCTTGAAGCCCGTGGGGACCTTCAAGAAGATTGGCAAGGTGTTCCGCAGGGAGGAGGACTCCACGGTGGGGATGCTGCAGATCGGGGAGGACGTGGACTATCTGCTCATCCCCCGGGAGGTCAGGCTGGCGGGAGGCGTGTGGAGGGTCATCTCCAAGCCCGCCACCAAGGAGGCGGAATTTCGCGAGCGGCTGACCCAGTTTCTGGAGGAAGAAGGCCGCACACTGGAGGACGTGGCCCGCATCATTGAGAAGAGCACCCCACACCCGCCCCAGCCCCCCAAAAAGCCCAAGGAGCCCCAGGTGAGGAGGAGAGTCCAGCAGATGGTGACCCCTCCCCCGCGGCTGGTCGTGGGCACCTATGACAGCAGCAACGTCAGCGACAGCGAGTTCAGTGACTTCGAGACCTCCAGAGACAAGGGTGACAAGGGTCACAAAGGCGCGGGGCGCAGCAGGAAGGTGCGCAAAATGCCAGTTAGTTACCTGGGCAGCAAATTTCTGGGGAGCGACCTGGAGAGCGAGGACGACGAGGAGCTGGTGGAGGCCTTCCTGCAGCGAGGGGAGAAGAAGCCCAGCGCGCCACCTGCCCGCCGCCGCGTGAACCTGCCCGTGCCCATGTTTGAGGACAACCCCAGGCCGCAGCTGTCCAAGGCGGACAGGTGGCGAGAGTACGTCAGCCAGGTGTCCTGGGGCAAGCTGAAGCGGAGGGTGAAGGGTTGGGCGCCCAGGTCCAGCCCCGAGGGGAGCGAGGCCCAGCAGGCCTCTCCCAGGCTAGAGAGGGTTGGGGCATCAGGGCCGGCCAGGGCCAGCCGGGGGGATAATGTGGGCAACACAGGAGATGGGCAGGGGCCGGAGACGCCCCCAAGACGATGGAAGCCCAAAATCAAATGGGCCTCTTTTCGCCATCGAAGGAGGGAGGAAGCAGCATCCACAGATCAGGGGGCAGGGGCTGCAGGTGATCAGAGGGCAGGGGCTGCAGGTGATCAGAGGGCAGAGGCTGCAGATGATCAGAGAGCTGAGGCTGCAGATAATCAGGGGGCTGAGGCTGCAGATGATCAGGGGGCTGAGGCTGCAGATGATCAGGGGGCTGAGCCTGCAGATGATCACGGGGCTGAGGCTGCAGATGATCAGGGAGCTGAGGCTGCAGATAATCAGAGGGTAGAGGCTATAGATAATCAGAGGGCAGAGGCCATACCCGTCCAGGGGGCAGAGGCTGAGGATAACCCAGGGGCAGAAGCCATAGCTGTCCAGAGGGCAGAGGCTGCAAATAATCAGAGGGAAGGGGCTGCAGATAATCAAAGGGCAGAGGCCCCAGCTGTCCAGGAGGCAGAGGCTGCATCGGATGGGGCAGAAGCCCCAGCTGCCCGGGGGGCCATAGGGACAACCCAAGGAGCTAAGGCCCGGAAACAGGTCAAGACAGTGAGGTTCCAGACCCCTGGACGTTTTTCGTGGTTTCGCAAGCACCGGAGAGCCTTCTGGCACGCTCCCCGGTTGCCAACCCTGCCCAAGAGAGCCCCCAGGGCAGGCGAGGCCAGGAGCCTTAGGGTGTTGAGGGCAGAGGCCAGAGCAGAAGCCGAGCAGGGAGAACGAGAAGACCAGCTGTGAGGTGAGGGCAGGGGCTCCCTGGAGCTTGCTGTCACCTGCCATGTTGTCACCACCCGGGGCGCGGCCTCCCCCTCCCGCGCTGGGGTGGAGATGCCCTTCCTGCGGCCATACTTGAAAATGGAGCTGGACAAGGGCCAGGCAGCGGGCCTCCCATCTCCACCCAACACCCCTCTGTCTTGTTAAAAGTTTATCTTTCATGCGTTGATTTTTTTTTAAAAACAGACTCTTTCTAGTCACCCAAGGAACGTAAAGAATGAGCCGTACAAAGGGGTTGCATCACTCATGATTTTAACTTCTCCAAGGGCAACTCTGGGTGCTCAGCTTGAAGGGGGGAAGTGGTAGAGAAATTCTCTCCCCTCCCCTCTCCCTTTCTCTTCTTTTCTACCACCCACTTAACATTGGCCGCCTCCTTGAACTTGAAAAAAAGGGCACAAGCCAACATGCAAATAAAAATATTTACCACGAGGGGCGCCTGGGTGGCTCAGTTGGTTAAGCGACTGCCTTCGGCTCAGGTCATGATCCTGGAGTCCTGGGATCGAGTCCC